ATAACAACAACAATAACAACAACAATAATAACAACAATAACAACAACAATAACAACAACAACAAACAGCAGCAGCAGCAGCAGCAGCAACACTACTTGCATCGCCGATTGTGTATGCGTGGGCCTCTGGGTCTTCAGCCCCTGGGGTATCCTGCAGCAGCAGCAGCTCCGAGAGCAGCTGCAGCAGCTCGTTGCTGCTGATTCGCTCCTGCTGCTGCCCGTGCTGCTGCTGCTGCTGCTGCGGCGGCAGCTCCAGCTGCCCCTTAAGTATGAGGGCGTTCGCAATGGCCAGCAGCGGACAGGCCCCATTATTTGCCTGCAGCAAAATGCGTCTGGGGGCCCCAAAAGCATTTATTGTTTTGATGGGAAACCACTCTTCTGCTGCTGCTGCTGCTGCTGCTGGGGTTGCTGCTGCCGCTGCCGGTGCTGCTGCTGCTGTTTCTGTTTCTGGAACGGGTGTTGCTGCTGCGGTTTCTGGCTGGGAAGACACAGATGCTGCTTGCGGGGATGCTGCTGCTGCTGCTGCTGCTGCAGCTGGTCGCCTTGCTGCTGCTTCTGCTGTTGGCCTTTCTGCTGCTTCCTCTGCTTTCGGTGCTGCTGCTGCTATCTCTGCTGCTAGTGCTGCTGCTGCCTCTGCTGCTGGTGCTGCTTGTGCTGCTGCAGTTGGAAGTGGGGAGGCAGCAGCACGCGACCCCACAGCCTCGCTGACTGGCACAACTGGGGGCGGCACATTGCTGCTGCTGCTGCTGCTGCTGCTGCTGCTGGTCTGGGGCGGCGCCTTATTCCCTTGTGTGTCTTTGGAAGATACGGAGACACCTGAGAGGTCTTGGTTTGCCTCTGCTGCTGCAGCAGCAGCAGCTGCTGCTGCAGCTGCTGCTGCAGCTGCTTCTGGAGCTGCTTCTGGAGCTGCTGCTGTGGCCTCGTTCTCTTCGGGTTGCGCCTTTGCTGCTGCTGCTGCTGCCGCTGCTGTCGCTGCTGCTTCTGTTTCGTCAGCTGCCTGCTTCTCAGTCTGCTGCTCCGCCGCACCTTTTGCTACGTTCTCCTGCTGCTGCTGCTGCTGCTGTTGCGTTTCCTGTTGCTGCTGCGGTTGCTCGTGGTGCTGCTGCGGTTGCCCCTGTTGCTGCCCCCGCTGCTGCTCCTGTTCATTCTTTTGCTGCTGCTCGTGCTGCTGCTGCTCTTCTTGCTGCCGCTGCGGCTTCTCTTGTCCGTCCTGCTGATGCGCTTCCTGCTTCTGACTTTGCTCCTGCTGCTGACCCGGCTGCTGCTGCTCCGTTTGCTGCACTTCCTCTTGGTGTTGCTGCTCTGCTCGCTGCTGCTGCTGCTGAGGCTCTTGCTGTTCCTGCGGCTGCTGGTGCTGCTGAGCTCGTTTTTCTTTCTGGTCCTGCTGCTGCTGCGGCTTCTGCTGCTCCTGGTGCTGCTGCTGCTGCTTCTCTTCGCGCTGAGGCTTTTGTTGCTCCTGCTTCTGAATATCCAGCGGCTCGGGCTCACGACAGACCTGCTGCTGTTGCTGCTGTTGCTGTTGCTGCTGTTGCTGCTGCCATTGCTGCTGCTGCTGCTGCGCGACCCCTTCAAATGGTACCAGCGGCGAGCTGTGAGGCCCAGAAGCCGCTTCTGCTGCCGCTGCTGCTGCAACTGCATCTGCTGCTGCATCCGCTGCTGCATCTGCTGCTGCGTCTGCTGCTTCGTTTGCTTCCGTTGGTCCGTGTATTGCTTGTGCTGCTGCGATTGCCTCCTCTGCTGATCCTGCTGCTGCTGTTGCTGCTGCTGCTGCTGTACCTGCCGGTTCTGCTGCTGCTGCAGCAGGTCCTGCTGCGTTATCTGCAGCGTGGAGAGCAGCAGCATCTTCTGTTTCTGCGGCTTCTGCTGCTGCGTCTACTGCTGCGTGTGCTGCTGTGTCTGCTGCTGCTGCAGCTCCTGCTGCAGCAGCTGCTGCTTCCTCTGGGGCCCCCGACAGCTGCCCTCCTGGGCCCCCTTTCCCGTGTTTGCGTCTCGCCATTTGCTGCTGCGAAGTCGGAGCAGCAGCAGCAACTGCTGCTGCTGCTGCTGCTGCCAATGATCGTGCTGGCCGAGCTGCTGTCGTTGTGCAGCAGCAACGCCTGCTGCCGCTGCTGGAGGTGCTGCTCTTCCGACCGCTGCTGCTGCTGCCGCTGCTGCTGCTGCTGCTGCTGCTGCTGCTGAGGAAACGCCTCAAGAAATCGAGACACACTACACCAAGTGCCCCCTAAAAGCCCCCGGACCCCACACGCCGCAGCAGCAGCTATTCAAAAATGTCCAAAACTTTAAAAGTATTAAAAAACAATTTCAAAGACAAACAGCAGTGAATGCCACCGCCGCTGCTGCTGCTGCCCTCCTGTCGCAGCGCCGGCAGCAGCAGCAGCAGCAGCAGCAGCAGCAGCAGGAGCAACGGCAGTGGGGCCCCTCACGAGCTTGAGCGCCTCCTCCCCAGGCACTGAGGCTTCCAAAATGTTTTTAAAAAATAAATGAAAATGAAAAAAAGAAAAGTAATTTGTTGTTTGCGTTGAGGTGTACGTACACCTCAGCTCCGCGCAGCAGCTGCAGCACAGAGTTTCTGCTGCAGCAGCAGCAGCAGAGTATCGCGGAGCCGCAAACTTTATGAATATTTAATTAATTAAAATTGTCGTGTTGCATTTTTGTTTTTCTTATTCTTTTGAACTCAGATCCTTTAAAATGCTACAAGCGGTCTCTCGCTGCATTCGCCGTTTTGCTGCTGCTGCTGCTGCTGCTGCTGTTGCTGCTGCTGCTGCTGCACCTTTTGCCTCGCTGGCCACGAAGCCAAATTGAAAAGGCAAGAAGCAAATTAATTAAATAAGCAGCAGCAAATAATCAAGCCCCAGCCGCCTGATTTGCTCCAGGTTTGAGCAGCAGCAAAAAGGCACATAAAATGAAAAAGGAAAATTAAATTAAATTAAAAAAAGAGAAAGAAAATTAAATTTAAAAAGGAAAAGGAAATGAAATGAATTCCACTTCGATCTGACGCTTTCAGATCCTGTGGCTGACGCTCAGGTGTACATACACTCGAAAGGACTTCAGCGAAAAAGAAAATAAATTAAGTAATAATAAATAAATGAATAAATAAGTCAATTAAAATAATAAATATATAAATAAATAAAACACCAAAACGGAAATTGGAAGGGGGATAAAACCTCAGGAAGAGAAATAAACCTTCCGAAGTAAATCAAGGATAAGGGCTGTAAACCCTAGACCCTAAACCCTAAACCCTAAACCCTCAGCTGCGGTAAACCCCTCCCTGTGCACGTGAATGTCTGTGGCGCATATGCGTGCCACTGCCTTTCTAAACACTAAACCCCAAACCCTAGCATTCGCCCTTCTAAACCCTAAACCCTAGCATGTGCATCGTGCCCCGCCATCCCTAGCCTTTCTAAACCCTAAACCCTAAACCCTAGTCTTCGCCTTTTTAAACCCTAAACCCTAAACCCTAGTCTTCGCCTTTCTAAACCCTAAACCCTAAACCCTAACACGTGCAGCGCATACCGCCATGCGCCCGCCTTTCTAAACCCTAAACCCTAAACCCTGCCTCTCCTGCAGCCGTCTTGAGCGGTTTAGAATGATTTCAAGTTGGTGAGAAGCAACAATTCGTTTTTTACAAAAACACAACGCAGCGATAGAGCTGCTGCATTGCTGCTGCAATGCATTTGCTGCTCCAGTCGCAGCAACTGCAGCTGCTGCTGCTGCTGCAGCAGCAGCCGCACCGACGACGGACAAAAGGCGCAGGTGCTTGTGCTGCTGGCGCTGCTGCTGCTACGAACAGCAGCAGCGGCAGCAGCAAATGCTGGTCGAGCATCTACGGGGGCGCGCGGGGGCTCATCTGCTGCTGCTGCTGGTACTGCTGCTGCTGCTGCTGCTGCTGCTGGTGCTGGTGGTGGGGCTGGTCAGGGCAGCTGCAGTTGCGCAAAACCCCAATTCTGTGCAGGCTGGGCATCTCTGCGACCTCGAGCAGCAGCAGCACGGGGAGCAGCAGCAGCAGCAGCGCAGCAGCAAAAGCAATCCAGACCTCCGCAGGGGTGTGAAAGAAGCAAGCAGTCATGGCAGCCATGAGGAAGCAGCAGCAGCAAATGAAGGCATAGTAAGCAGCACAGATGTAGGGGGCCAGGCGGGAGAGGGAGGGGAACTGGCGCCAGCGGCTGCTGCTGCTGCTGCTGCTGTCGGCGCCAGCAGCAGCAGCAGCGGGAGGGTGGGAAGCAAAAGCTGCTGAGACCTCGACAGCAGCAATTAGCAAAGCCAAGACATAAAGCAGCACGTGGTCACTGACGTCGACGTCTGTCCAGCTGAACTGCTCCCCCTGCTGCCCCTGCTGCTCCTGCTGCTGCTGCTGCTGCTGCTGCAGCTGCTGCTCTGACGGCTTCAGGCAGCTGCACTGCATGCAGTCTCCCGGCGGAGCGGCGCACGTAGCTGGAGACTCTGCTGCTGTTGCTGCTGCTGCTGCTGTTGCTGCTGCCGACGGCGGCAGACCGAGCAGCTTCGCTGCTGTTGCTTGAACAGCAGCAGCAGCAGCTTGCTGCTGCTTCCGAACTCGCGCTGCTGTCCTGATGGTGGCATTTGCTGCAGAAAGTGCTGCTGCCTTCAGTCTGCTAGCGCCCGCCTTCAGCCAGCTGCCTGCAGCAGCAGCTGCTGCTGCTGCATGCGCTGCAGCAGCAGCAGCAAGCGAGCCGAAGTCTTCTTCTGCACACACCAGTACTGTGGCTGCGGGAGCAGCAGCAGCTGCAGCAGCACTCCCAGAAGCAGCAGCAGCAGCAGGTATAAACGACTTTAGTCGCTTTGCTGCAGCAGCGCGGGCAAAGAACCAAGCACCTCTCGGAAAGGGTGGCAGAGAACAAATGCTGCTGCTGCTATTGCTGCTGCTGCTGCTGCTGGTTTGAGGCCCAGCAACAAAGGGAGTCAAAATGCTGCTGCTACGGCTGCACGTCGTGCTGCTGCCGGTGCTGCTGCTGCTGTCTGACAGCAGAGCCGCTTGAGAGGACTGGAACAGCTTCGCTACGAATTCTCTTGGGGAAGCAGCAGCAGCAGCAGCAGATGCTCCTGCTGCTGCTGCTGGCGCAGTGCTGCCATCGTTGCTGCAGCACACGTCAGCTTCGCCCAGCTGCTGCTGCTGCTGCTGCTGCAGCGTGTGCATCATGACCATGGCAGCCTCCGAAGAGAGTGCAGCAGACTGCGTCGCGTCCACCCCTGCTGTTGCTGCTGCTGCTGCTTCGGCAAAAGCTGCTGCTGCTTCCTTGGAGGGCTGGAGAAGCAGCAGCTGCTGCTGCAGCTCGAAGAGCTGCTGCGGGTGGTGCCAGCAGAGCGGCAGGGGGTGCTGCGGCTGCTGCTGCTGCTGCTGCTGCTGCAGCAGCTGCTGCTGCAGCTGCCGAAATGTCGCCAGCTGCAGCCGCAGCAAATCTCGAGGCCGCAGCCGCACTAATTTACTTTGGTGATACAAAGTGCCCAGCAGCAAAGCTCCTGTCAGCAGCAGCAGCAGCAGCAGCAGCAAGCCGTAGAAGAAGCGCCTGCCGACGGGACGACTCTCCCGCTGCCGCAGCTGCTGCTGCTGCTCCTGCTGCTGCTGCTGCTGCGCAGAAACACCGGGCGCACCCTGCTGCTGCTGCTGCGGCGGCTGCAGCAGCAGCAACTCGTCGTCGCTCTCCCCAGAAAGACATTTGCTGCTGCTGTGGCGGTCCCCAGCTTCTTCCCCCAGCAGCTTCGCCAAAGCCCCCACAAGGCTGCTGCTGCTGCTGCTGCTGATGCTGCTGCGGCGGTTGACGCGGCTGTCCTGCCACAGCTCGGGCAGGTAGCTGCTGCTGCTGCTTCTGCTGCTCATGCGGCTGCTGCTGCCGCTGCTGCTGCTGCGGCAGCGCTCCTGAGAGTCCGAGTCCGGCAGCAAGCGCTCCTCAGGCAGAAGCAAATGCTGCTGCTGCTGCCGCTGCTGCTGCTGCTGCTGCAGCGTGGGGAGAGCAGCAGCGCTGTCGCCTGCTCGTGGAGTTGCAGCAGCAGCAACAACAGCAGCAACACCTGGCAGCTGACAAAAAGCAGCAGCAACGCGGCTTTGCGGTGCTGCTGCTGCCGTTACTGTCAAGTCTGCTGCTACGCCTGCTGCTGCAGCTGCTGCTGCAGACAAAGGAGACTCATTTGCTGTTGATGCTGAAGCCAGCAACGGTGGCGCCTTATGGCTCCCATTTTGCTGCTGCTGCTGCTGCTGCTGCTGGCTGCGGCGCGCAGCAGCAGCAGCGAGGGTCTGGACGGTTGCTGCTGCAGTTGCTGCTGCAGCCGCCGCAACGTCAGCTGCAGCAGGTGCTGCAGCAGCAGCTGCTTTACCAACAAAGTAACACGGCGAGTCTCCACACGTTGCAGGTTCGCAGTGCTGCTGCTGCTGCTGCTGCTGCTGCTGTTCCTGTCCAGGTTGCTGCTCCCGTCTGGGCTTTTGCTGCTGCTGCAGCGCAGCAGCAGTCGGGTGCTGCTTGTGTGACTTGTGGCCTTTCGGTGTTGGACTTCTGTGCTGTTCCCGGTGCTGCTGCTGCTGCTGCTGCTGCCTCTGCTGCTCCTGCTGCCCCACTGGCGTGCCAGGAGGGCTCCCTTCTGCTTGGTGCTGCTGCTGCTGCTGCTGCGGCATACACGGGACTCTGTGGAGGTGCAGCAGCCCTTGCTGCTGCAGCTGCAGCACGGGCGGCATTGAGCAGCAGACCCGGTTGCCCTGAGCTCTCCGAAGGCCTAGGGTTTAGGGTTTTGGGATTAGGGTTTAGGGTTTAGGGTTTGCGGTGCAGTGCCTGTGCACGCACATACAAAGCCCTGGTCCCGCTGAAGACGAGATTTTCGGGCCATCTGCTGCTGCTGCGGTGAGTCTGCTGCTGCTGCTGTGCTGCCGCTGCTGCTGCTGCCGCCGCCGCTGCTGCAGCAGCTACTGCTGGCAGCAGGGCCTCTAAGCGAAAAAGGCACACAGATAGACAGCAGGGCAGTCGCTGCGCAGGAATAGAGCGGTTTGCAGGGGCGAGCTCGCGGTGCTGCTGCTGCTGCTGCTGCTGTAGCGCTTGCTGCTGCTGCTGCTGCTGCTGCTGCTGCTGCTGTGTGTCTGACTCGGCGGTGGACTCGCTGCTGCTGCTGCAAAGAGGATGAGCGAACGCACTAGCCCTTAAGAATGAAGAAAGCAATAGAGTTGTAGTTGAGGCGTAAAGACACCGCAGCAGCAGCAGCGGCTTCCGCTGCTGCTGCTGCGGGCCACTGCCACTGACACATCCGCTGCATGCACTTTTGGGGCTTTTTTGCTGCTTCAGCCGGTGAGCTTTAACGCAGCAGCTTTTATTTTGTTTTGTCTTCTTAGCAGCAAAGAAGTTGGGGGCTTTTGCAGGTCGCCCTGCAGGGCGCCGCCGCGATCCCTAAACCCTAAACCCTAAACCCTAAACCCTCGTCCGAAGCCCCTACATGTTTCCGCAGAGGACATGGCCTGGCGTGGCCGGTGGGTCCTCGAAGTTCGTCTCAATGCGGCGCAGAGGTGTTCACGCGCCAGGCCTAAACCCCAAACCCTAAACCCTAAACCCTAAACCCTCGAAATGTGGGACCCCCACAGGCTCCCCCCGGGGGCCCCCCCCTTCGCTCCTGCTGCTGCTTTATCTGCTGAGGGTCTTGCTGCGCTGCGGGCCTTTGAGGGGGGTTTGGGGTGTATAGACAGCAGCAGCGCATGCATTCAGGGGCTTTCTGCTGCTCTCGTGCATGCAGCACATTCGCCAGCAGTTTACCACTGTCTTGCTGCTCTGAAGGCCCAGATACAGGCTCCTGCTGCTGCTGCTGCTGCTGGGGGCGGCGCAGCAGCAGCAGCAGCAGCAGGCTCGGGGCAGCTCGTGCTGCTGCTGTACGTGATCAACGATGTGCTGCAGCGGTGCTGCAGCTGTGGGGCCCCGTTTTTGCTGCAGCTGTGCCTGGACCCGCTGCGGAGCCTATGCGCAGCAGCAGCGGCAGCAGCAGCAGCAGCAACAGCAGCAGGAGCAGCAGCAAATGGACTAGATGAATTCAAAAGGGTTCTCGAAATTCTAAAACAAAGAGACACTTTTGGGGGCCCCGAAATATGCGAAGCTCTTATGAGGATTTTGGCTGGACAGGATGTGCAGCTGCCGCAGGTCCCCAAGCAGCTCATGCTGCAGCAGCAGCAGCAGCAGCAGCAGCAGCGCCTCAGCCACAAAGCTGCAGATGCACCCGAGGGCAGATCGGTGAGAATTCCGTCACCAAAGTGCTGCTGCTTTCTAAGACAGCGCCAGCGCAAAGTGTTTAGGGTTTAGGGTTTAGGGTTTAGGGTTTAGGGTTTGAACAGATCTCGCATAGTGTCCGTAGCAGTCTGTGCTGCTGCCGCAGTCGCTGCTGCTGCCCATGCTCATCCGTGGCTGCTGCTGCTGTTGCTGCTGCTGCTGCTGCTGCTGCTGCAGGCGAAGGGCCCCCAGACACTGGATGGGTACCGGCTGCACTATCCATCTGCTGCAGATGCTGCAACAGCAGCAGCAGCAGCAGCAGCAATTCCAGCAGCACCAGAAGACACAGCTTTTAAGCAGCAGCTGCACCGAACCCTCACACTTGCCAATGACTGCACTCTCACCATCAGAGACGCCCAAGACAGCAGGTAAACCCTAAACCCTAAACCCTAAACCCTAAACCCTCGTGCTGGGGCAGCAGCAGCCGAGCCCTGGGCCCTGGGAGCTCTCCGGGGCGCGCCGGGGCCGTGCTGGTCTTAATTTGCTGCTGCTGCTGCTGCTGCTGCTGTTGCTGCTGCTGCTGCTGCAGGAAGCGACAGAATGCGAGGGTTTTGGAAGTGCAACAGCTGCTGCAGCGCCTCGCCAGCGGGGAAGACACGGAGGAGCAGCAGGCAGAGCTCAATGAGCGGCCACAAGTAGGGTTTAGGGTTTTTAGGGTTTAGGGTTTAGGGTTTGGAGGGTTTAGGTCTTGGGGTTTTTAGGGTTTAGGGTTTGGGGCTTGGGGTTGGCCCAGAAGGGCCAGGGTTTGTAGGGTTTAGGGTTTGGAGGGTTTGGACAGACGGCGCCGTTTGCTGCAGCTCCCAGCGCCTTTTGGAGCCCTACCCAGGGTCAGAGCCAGGGTTTAGGGCTAGGGTTTAGGGTTTAGGGTTTAGGG